TTCGATAGGAATTATTCAAATTTCTGTTTGGCTCCTTATCTGTCTCACGCCTGGGAGGCTCAAAATTGTATGGCTGTGGGCCATCGTAGGTTTGAGGGGGATTTTGGATCTCCTTAGACTCAAAACTCTCCATACTTGAATAGAACTTTTTCGGCACGTCTCCCTCTTCTGACGTCACACCTCAGCTGTGTTTTAAAAATATGATCTTGACAAAAATGGCTATAAAGCTTACTGTAGGGCAATTACAGTGATAATTTTAATGATAATTACATTTTCACTCAGACATCTAACCCTTATTTAACCTCTTCCACTCTAAGGCATATTTTGGAATTCCGCCTGAATTTAACACACCCAAGTTTAAATATTCACCCTAGACACATACAGTGTAGGAAATTTAAAAAGCTAGTGTCATTGTACAGAAAACCCTTCAGATTTATTAAATTAGATTGCAAAACTTCATAAATAGAATTGTATGCTTTTAAAATATTACGATAAACATTAAAAAAATAGGACTTTTATTTTATTTTTTTATAGAATCCTGTCTTTGAAAATCTGTGATTCAGGTACTGTTTGCTCTGGGGACCTGCTGATTATATTGTTTGACTATACTAGGTGGCAGTATCCACCAGAAAAAAAGATTTTTTTCTCTATGACATTCTGAGCAAGAGTTATTCAAATATAACCGAAGGGAGGTAAAGTATCATTTTTAGTGCATATATGTGTCCTTTGGATTTTTCTAATACTCAAATGCAATTTTTTTTTTTTTTTTTTTTACTAATACTACCCCAAAAATCCTACTTTTAATACATACTAAAGCACTTTACTTAATTATCGATTGATTTTCTTCATTTTCATTCAGGTTTAATGCAAAATGGTATAAAGGAATGAGACCAAGTAACATTTGTGTTTTGTAAATAAAAGCACAACAAATGTAGGCTATTCTCCTTTCAGGAGACACTAATCACTTAAAAAACTGTCTTGTAGAATTTATGTGGTCTAAAACACACCACTTGTACAAATTGAAACATAAATAAAAATGAGAGACTATAGAAATATGAAAGTAGACCTAGATAACGTTAGCCCTAAGATGCACGCTACACGATGCACCGTCACTTTCTCTTTCAAGCTCTTCTATTGCTTCAACGCAAGAGAACACCTTTTTAGCTGCTTTTCCCTCTCCAGATGCCATTTTTTTATCAAAACGCTCGAAAAATACAAATATATATCCAATAATTTTCTGTCAGTCGTCTTCGTCGCTTGTCATTCACTTGTTACTATCTACTCGCGCGCCAGTCGCGCCTATCATCACGTCGTGATGTACTAATTACAGTGTTGCCAACTATTTTCAAAGGAAAGTAGCTAAGGCCTTCCCTAAAAGTCGCTAAATGTCGCTAGATGACGTCATACGTCAATTAGCATATTAATGACGTCATCGCGTCGTACTTGCGTTCTGTCAGCCTAGTGCGTTTTCTCTCTAAATTATTGCTCTATTTAACATAATATAGCCGAATGTCAAATAAAGCTGTTTTCATTTCCTTTTTTTTTTGTCAGACAATAGAACGAGTAGCTATAATATAGTGAATGATTACATTTTTTATTGGCCTATGTGGAACATTATCTGAATTGAGAGAGTTAGGGAACCGGATGAACTAAGCTCTGTGATAGTGAGTGTTACAAGTAATAAGCACAAGAAAATAAATAAAAATTAAAATGGTCAAACTAAATTCTTTAAATATAACAAAAGAAAAGCAGATAAGTGATAAGTCCATGGAAAAACACTGCTCATTCGCGTCTGTCAGCGGCCGTGCGCTCCTCTCAGCCATTCACTGAACAGGGGAGACGCAGCGAGAGAGAGTGACGACAGGGAGAAAGCAAGACCTCGCGCTCGCAGGACAGTACTGGCAACATTTGGAGGTTACTGAGGTTTGTCCAAAAAGTCGCTAAAATTGTCGCTAGTCGCTTTTTTGAAAAAATGTCGCTAAAGGGGTCTGAAAAGTCGCTAAAAATAGCGACAAAGGCGCTAAGTTGGCAACACTGGTACTAAAGCCATGACAAAAGCCGGTCGTGATCCCGCCCACCTACTCCACTGATTCGTTGGCTGATTCAGCATGTGATTGGACTAGATAAATGATTGACATGTGATTGGAAAGCTGACAGCCTCAGCTTTGAACACGTGCCTGATTTGTATATCATCGTCATGATTAGAGGACGCTTGCACGGTTTGATGATGATGTGTAGATCGCGTGTTTCTCCCGTCGAGCGCGTTTTGTGTTCTGGACATCCGCGACATAAGTGGATTATTTACCAAGAGGAGCTCACAGAAAAGTACAAATGGGCTCATTTGAAAGATAACATCCTAAGGTAAAAGATGATATAGAGTTTGTGGCTGATTTTAGCTTAGAGCACCTGTAATCGAAGTAGAAATGAGACGTTTGTCTTTGTTTATTCACAGAAATCATATTTTACTGCCCGATTCTTGTGGAGATAATGTGAACTATGATGTTAAAACAATAAAACAAACTACATAGTCACATTTCTGAGAATGAGAGCTTTCTTTTGATATGATTTTTCTGTTTTGTGAGATACATAAAAAAATACATATTCATATTTACAAATCTGCATCGCCATTTTGGGGGAGGAGCGATTTTGTGACGATTGTTTTTTAAAGCTTTATATTAATTATTTGTGTTCCATATACACACATATAATTGTATTCTATGTAAAGATGAGATTTTAAGATTTAAAATGATACTATATATGGGGTTATAGTATCTCCAGAAACATAAAAAAAAATTAAGTTTAAATATAATGACGTAGCTCTTTTGCCCACCCACGGGCGATCAGAGTGGAAGAGGTTAATATATCTAAAAAAAAAAATGTAACCTGACATCCTTTAACTCCATTTTATTAACCTGACAAATATGTAGTGAAGAATAGTGTGTATTAACAAAAATCTAAAGTGTGGTTTTATCTATCAGTGTAGAAGCTTTACTCCTGTTCTGGTACAATGTGTGTAAATAACTAGATTTTATTTTTCACAGTAAGATATACATCTAATAGGCCTAGTGTACATTCTACAATATTCAAGATGAATGAAAAACTTAATATTGTCTTTAGTTAAGAGGGGGTTTTTTTTCAGATGTTTCATTACATTTTAATAAAAATGTTGTATTTGTGGCCCGGGATTCAAATGTGTACAAAGCAAAGAGATGAAGAATTGTCACATGTCATACTAGATCTTACCAGAAGAGGACGCAATAGACTTTAAGCTTCTGTTAGACCGAGTTATTTTCACAATTAAATCTCACTGGCGAACCTGTCAGTCGGTCAAAAGCATGTACTTTACTACAAAGCAAAACATATGCGCCAAAACAAGCTTGTCCCCATAGTCCTTTATTGGTGATTGAAATAACCAATCTTAGCAAATTCCTTTTCCAAGTCTGTTGTCGAACCCTAGAGGCAAAATGAGGAAACTGCTATGTGGAAGCCATTTATTTTGTCACTGGGTGGTTGAAAGATCGTTCAAAGGTAAGGTTTTATCATGTTTTTGAAAGAAATTAATAAATGCTCAACTAGGCTGCATTTATTTGATAAAAAAAAATAGTAATATTGTGAAATATAAATGTGAGATGGCAAAGCTGAATTTTCAGCAATCATTAGGCCTACTCCAGTCTTCACACAAGATTTGTTTTAGAAAAACATTCTAATATGCTCATTTGGTTCACCAAGAAATATTATCAATATTCAAAACAGTTGTGCTGCTTAATACTTTTGTGGAAACTGAGGGGTATTTTTCAGGATTCTTAGAATGTTCAAGATAGCACCATTTATTTGTAAAAAAAAAAAAAAAAAAAAAAAAACCTAACATTATAAATGTCTTTACTGCCACTTTTAATGAATTTAATGCATCCTTGCTGAATACAAGTACTTATTTCTTTAAAAATAAAAATAAATAACCCCTGACCCCAAACTTTTGAATGGCTGTGTGTGTATAAACACCCCCATTTGTTTCACTATATTATTGAAGACATTCCATAGACTTCCATTGATTTTATATCAGGTTACTTATATTTTCTATCGTTTAACCCAACCCCTACCTCTAAACCAGAAACCTGCAAAACACTAGATAGAAATAAAAACATGTTTTGCCTGATTTAAAAGCCTTTTTAACTAGTGAAGACCAGTAAAAATGTATCACTAATTGGTTGTCATGATATTTCACTGTATTGGCCCTCACAAGTATAGCCAAACTTGTACACAATTATTGAATATGAGACTATTTTGACCAACCCTATTACGAAATAACTACTGGTAACGGAAAATAATTACCGCAAAGAAGCTACACAAGTATGCTGTTGTGTGGGTTGCTATTAGTAATGCTCTGATAAGAAATATATTCATACAAACAGAATTTTTGAAGTAATGTAAATGGTTGTATTCTAGAGTGGACAAATACAATAACATGACCTAAAATTTCAGACCATACATATTTCAGCACTTTTAGACAATGTTTGACTACTGCAATTAATCAAAATTTAAATCACATGAGATTTATTAACTCCAATATTATCCAATAATCAGGAGCAGGACACCGAATCAATAATTCAAGCTGTACTTGACTAGCTAAACCACTGGCTGATTTAATCACTACTTCTGCTTACTGTAAACATCTGCATAAAATATACATTTTAGGGTGCCATGATTCCAGCCTGATCCATATTTTATAGTACTTTTCTCATTAATGTTCAAAGAGAATAACAGGGCGCTATTGTCATGATCTCATTTGATCTTCGCATTTTAGTTTGATTGCAACTGTGAGGAAAAAAAACTGTGCTTTAAAAGCAGAAACAATTCATAGAGAGGGAACCAATTTCTTTGTTTGTAGTTTTCATTTAAACTGATTGTTGTGGATCATGAACAAATCACTGTGGCAATACTGCCTCTTTCTGAGCCCTGAGCTCTAAGAAAAATCTGAGCTCAAAACCCCCAGCAAATGGCCCCTTTATTTCTCTCTCTCTCTCTCTCTCTCACTTTCCATCCTCACTCAGCCTTCTTAAAGACTTGCTTGGCAGTGACACCCTGAGCCCTCATCTCCTGCAGAGAGAGAGAGAGAGAGAGAGAGAGAGAGAGAGACGTGAGAGAAGAAAAGGGATGAAGGACATTGTAAGAGATACATAGTAGTAGCCCAGTGGTTAAAGCTTCGATCAGGATTAACCCAAGAACTGGAGACATTCAGAGAAGGTCCTATCAACATTATGCTTCTGAGTAGAGCCTTGAATACCAGGTTGCTCCATGGAAACGATTGCTAAAATTAATGTACTGTTTCTTTAAAGAAAAGATCTGTTAAATGGAACCAGGCAAGATTTTTTTTAAATCTTTTTTAAATAAGACTCTTATGCTCACCAAGGCATTTGTTTGATCAAAAATGCCATACAAATTAACTTAAAATAACTGTATTTTAATAGACTTTCAAATGCCGTTTATTCCTGTGATGGCAAAGCTGAATTTTCAACATCATTACTCCAGTCTTCAGTGTCACATGATCCCTCAGAAATCATTCTAATATGCTGATTTGGTGTTCAAAAAGATGAGAACTCTCCAAATAGAACTCTTTTGTAACATTGTAAATTTATTTACTGTCACTTTTGATCAATGTCATGTCTCCTTGTTGAATAAAACCATAAATTTTTTTTTTTTTAATCCTACTGACCACAAATTTTTAAACAATAGTGTAACCAAAATTTAACACAAAAACAGCACTGTCTCTTTAAACTAGCCCACAAAAGCCCCGTCACTCGTCTCATTTAATCCCCCCTCTTCATCTCCTCTTTCACCAACCCTTTTCCTTTTGGCCTGTGTCCTGTCACTTTTCTCACACTTTTTATAACTGCCTCAGGAATTATAAGAAAAAGTATGTAAAATAATAATAATAATTTTACCTAGAAAAGCTATACACACAAGCACAAACACACATAATACTGTTATTTAAAAACCTTTCATACAGTTTTATCAAAACTTTTTAGTCTAGTAAACACTGGAAACATATCCACTGTATATGTAAAGCAGTTTTTCCAAGCCCAGCACAAACCCTACTTGCTTACCAAATGAAGGATGTTTCCTTCTAACCAGTGTGTCCAGCCTCTGCCCTCTTTCTCTCCTCTCTGCACGCAGACCAATTTATCACCGTCCCAGTCCACTGTGGTCTGAAACATATGGAGGTCATTATCCATCAGCGCCACACATACCACACTCCTTTGTCTGGTGGTTGTTCCTTTTAAAACGGGCCCAGGTTTCCCACAAATACATTACAAATGGGTTGACTAGAAAGACAATAATATAAAAATAAGGAGTGCAAATAAAAAAAAAGAACCCGCAGACCTGGCACTTTCTCCCATCGACTGGTCCCAGGTCCTCAGTGAACTCCTGTCCCAAAGTGAAGTCCATGTCGAAGTTCTTAAAGGTGGTGACTGTCTTTATCTTCATTTCGCCAGTGTTCACATCATGTTCAATATGTTTGCTGGGTTTCAGAATGCAGACGACTTTTCTTAATGCATAATTAACATCTGATGTGAAGAGAAAAAAAATTATATGATAAGCATTTTGATAAAAAAAAAAAAAAAAGAACAATATGTCATTATTTCCCCTTGTGTTATTCCAAACTGTTTTTTTCTTTTCTTTAGTGAAACACAAAAGGTGAATTTTTAAGATTTGTTTTGGAATCATAATGATTTGGAGTTTAACTAACTGATTACATTTTTCTGGTTGCAGTGGTTTACCGGCCACTGGAGAAGATTATCAGTGAGAAGAAACAACATTTCAGTCTGTTTGTCACACAAACTATTGTATGAACTCAGAAGACTTGGAATATGATGTATGAATAATAGGCTACTTTTATGCTGCTTGTCAAGTAATTGAGCTCAAAAGCTCCATTATTGCAAATGCATGAAAAAGTGGCAAGCAAGTTATTGAACATTTCTCACTTTGTGTTCCACAGAAGAAAAAAAATCATACGATTTTGCAACAATATTAGGGAATTATTAATTTTTAGGTGCATAACAGCAGGATGAGACCAGTTACAAGGTCAGAAACAAAACATTTGATACACGGTTTAGGCATGTTTCTTCACATGTTTTTTCAGAAAAAATATATATATATATATATATATATATTACACACTAAAATGCTATGATCTCGTTTAGGCTTTCTTCCCCACGGCAAGAAAATGATTAGACTGTGTTTCATCACATTAACCCAGAATAAAGGAGTACATCCATCAGGTTCACAAAGGTTTGAAGACAGGTAAGTTAACGTTACATCACAGTCAACAAGCATCAAGTTACAATCAAAGCGAGACTCTTTATATAGGCTACTAACTTAGCAGGTCACTTATCATATGCTCTTAGATTGCAAAATTGAGAAAAATATATATATATATAAAAAATATTGTAGCTTACCCAAAGCCGCCAAATATTCTTCAAAATTATTCTGGGAAACCATGTTATAAATGCCAGTATAATTAGGTTTGGACATTTTTTTTCTTTCTTTCTTTCGTTCGAATCGCTCTAAACTTTGTGTGGATTTGTGGCTCTGTTGTTGGCTCACTTTTCCTTCTGGTTATCTGTCTGGATCTCTATCCGTGTCTCCAGGCAGCACTATCGCATTGTACGCTAGTTAATTTGGTTAAATAATAGCGCGATTATCGCCGTTTCCTACTAACAGCACGCGAAGTGTACCGAGCAGAATCCGTGGTCAGTGTTTCCGGGAATCTTTTCCGTGATGTTCCGTTGCACAATGAGCCATTACCGATCTGAGGTTCGTCCTCTGTAAGTAAACCCGAAAGCAGCTGTGACTCCTCCCAAACCATCTCATTCTGAACAGAACAAATAGCCAAATCCAGCCTCTCTAGGTTTGGGATTGATTTGTAGGCATTAAGGGGAGGTGGACTGGATTTCCAGAGCTTATCAAATTGTAACTTTATAAAATACACACTAAAAGAATGATTCATTATGACCGTACCCCTTTAAAATATGCCAAATAGGCGTCAACTCGTTAAATAGGCAAATATAAGACTACATAAAGTGTCAGAAAAAAGTAAACTTGTTTTATTGCGATCTGTAATCAGTGAATGGTAATTGACCATTTTGTCAAAAAGGTTTTTTTTTCAGCCAATTAAATCAATTTTAGAAATAGTAAGCTAATGTATTAATACATGTGTGATGTGCAAAATATTTTTCAGATTATCAGTCTGAATGTGGTAATAGATGTAGGCCTAAAAACAGTTTGAAACCATGAAGTCTCAACTCATTTATCAAGGTAAGATACATGAACTGAATTAAAATAAAACAGAAAAAAACCCTAATACGTTTATTATTTTAGCCAGTTTCCAAAACATTTGTTGCCTTGATGTAGGCTATACAAGAAGTAAAACAAAAAACTGAAATAAAACTATTTAGACATTTAGAAAAAAGTCAAAAACATAAAATTGCTAAAATGTTTACTAAAATTAAAAGATTGTAAATAAAAATGTATTTAAAATATTGTAACAGAAATTAATTTAACACTGCACATTATGTTTGTATCTGACTGTGTGGACCCCCTGCATTTGCTATATGAGTAAAATGGCAGTTGAAAGATGCTGACCATTCTAACTTACTAAAGGTGAGAAGTTGAGTTTATATCCTAAAATGTAAATGTTTATCAATTATATGGAGAATGTTCTAGAAGTGTAACACTCTTTTCTCCGACATATTTGGTTCTGTTGCTCATGTGGAGCTCTGTAAAGTTCATTCATCATTTCTCCTAATGTTTTTCCCCGCTGTGCCTCGATGTTAAACGGGGTCAGCCCTGTATGGGGTTCACTCTCTGATGTACAGAAGAATGAGACGGGTCCCTCTCACTGGCATCAGGCCAGAGTTTATGCGTATCATCTCACCAGGACATCAACCTTTCCTTTCTGCCTTACTGTTACAATAACATCACAGAAAATTAAACTTTCTATGCAAACACAACTTCATTTTATTACAGAAGATAACCATAACGGCCAGGAATAACTATGAACAGTCTTTGAAAAGGACTTTTATTAAAACTGAAAACGAGTGGATGATTTATAAATCAATTGCAGCTTAGTGAATTTACTTCAACAACAAATTTTTACTAGATATTAAAAAATGACACAAAGAATACACAGAGAAAACAATATAGCAAGATTCGTTGGATAAGATCACATATTTTGGCATTTACGAAGCACAATTAAATCTCATCTTTTCGTGTTATTTTTATCGTTTCCTGACCGATCCACTCTTCTTTTCCTCTGATTTCTGCTTTTTGACATCTTTCTTTCCCTTTGCTCCCAGATTTTCATAAACATCTTCATTTTTTCTGGAAAAAAAATCAGTATGACTGATTAGTCACTAACTTGAAGCAATTATTATAACCACCTCAACTTCTACAGAAACAAACGAGAAGTCCACTGCAATGCTTGGATATGAACATTTTAATTTAAATGCAGTTAGATTTAAATATGTGGAAAATCAAGTTGTTTTTAGTAAGTTCTCTTTTTTTATTTTGCTGTTTACTGCAGTTTTAATGTTTTTGTCAGCACCACATAAACCACATAAACGTGAGAAATAGAGACTTGCCAAACATTGTCCAGTAAGCCAATGATTAGTTCAACTCACGGTGATTTGAGCAAGGTCAAGCTGAATCAATACGAGATCTGAGATAAAATGCCCTATACTCAATCCATCTGTCTTTTTCAATGGGATATTGCACAACGGTTCTAAGGCTTACAAAAAGCTTGTATAAGCAGAATGGCCGTGTGACCGAGAGATCTTTGAACCGCCTACTTAAGTGGTCATTGGTTTAGGGAAGATATGGGGACGTGAGAGGAATGTTTTTTTTTAGTATTTGGAGATACGCTACAATCTGAAGTCTCAGTTGCATACTCACTTTGCAGAGGCTTTGCGACTGGCTTTCTGGTGTTTAGACTGAATTGAAAGGTTTCCATATTCAGTTTCTGTTTCCTGTAGCAGAAAGTTTAAAAAAAAACATCAATAGCAATACTAAATACAAAAGAGGGAAGAGACAGAGAACTGGACATAAGTCTTATCTTATCTTCTTATTTATAGTGTTGACTTTGATTAGATATCATGGAAACCAAATATTACTAACCCCAAACCAAATATTATTAATTTCCAGTGCAAACTTTCTGGCTTAATTTCCCTTTATTTCCTTAATTATATTTCAAAAACCCCTCACAATGATCCTCAGCCATTTTCTTACCATGACAGCCTTTCGTGTGACAGTATTCGTATCTATATACTGTAGCACAGCCAAGTAGATGAACTTGTACTGGGCTTCAGTTTGCACCATGCCAGACCGCTGGTCTCGGACCATCTGAATACACTTCTGGATGTCGATGTCACAGTCCAAACCTGACACAGACAACATCTTTAGAAACATTTATTTTTTTAATCGTGACCATGTTTGATCCAAGATCTATGATAAAGTACCACCCTGTGGTGTCCATGTGAAATGTGGTTGCGACAACTAAAAATAAGCCTATTATAAGATTATAAGACTAAGTATATTGATTTGTGTAAAACAAATTCTGGACCATTTCGAAGGGAAGCATATTAGCAAAACATATCGTAGATTCTAGAAAGCCTGGGGACATTCACAGGTGATAATGCTTTAATCAATGTGATTGCACTGCATCAACCCTAAGTTGCAATAAAAATGATGAATAATAATGAGTCTCCTGCTGAGAGAGCTGATCTGTGATCAGATTATCATTTTTCATCTCTTGATCTAAAATGAGTTTTGCCATGGCAACGTTCATTATTGTTTTGAGACAAAGATGAATATTGAAACTGTACTGACCCTGTCTCTAGAATGTTTATGTGCTTATTTAAAGTTGTAAAGCTCTCATTAAGAGCTGGAATTTTTTCGAAAGTGCCCAGGATTCCCAGTGGCCTGTAAAAACATCTTAAATTCACTAATTTCTCCACTGAGTTGAGAATTTATATATTTACGCATTTGGCTGACACTTATTCAAGGTATTCATTTAATGAGTTTATCCATTTCCTGGGAATCAAACCTATGACCTTTTAATGTGATGTTACCATAGAACAGTACCATGAAGGTATTACTGGTAACCAGACAGTTGGCGATAGACTTCCATAGTAGGGGGAAAAAATACAATGAAAGCCAATAGCTACCGTCAACTGACTGGTTACCAACATTCTTCATAAATCTTCTTTTGTGTTCAACAGAAGAAAGAAACTCATGCAGGTTTGGAACAACTTAAGGCTGAGTAAATGATGACAAAATTTTCATTTTTGGGTGAACTATCCCTTTAAGGGCTTTTCTGAAGGGCACAATGGCTAATAATAATTCATTACATTTTTTATATAGCGCTTTTCTTGGCACTCAAAGCGCTTTACATAGAAGGGGGGATCTCCTCAACCACCACCAATGTGCAGCATCCACCTGGATGATGCGACGGCAGCCATATTGCGCCAGAACGCCCACCACACACCAGCTTACTGGTGGAGAGGAGACATAGTGATGAAGCCAATTGGTATATATATATATATGGGGATGATTAGGAGGCCATGATGGACAGAGGCCACTGGGCAAATTTGGCCAGGATGCCAGGGTTACACCCCTACTCTTTCGAAAGACATCCTGGGATTTTTTGTGACCACAGAGAGTCAGTGCCTCGGTTTAACGTCTCATCCGAAGGACGGTGCTCTTTAACAGTATAGTGTCCCCATTACTATACTGGGGCGTTAGGACCCACTCAGACCACAGGGTGAGCGCCCCCTGCTGGCCTCACTAACACCTCTTCCAGCAGCAACCTGTTTTTTCTCAGAAGGTCTCCCATCCAGGTACTGACCAGGCTCAGCCCTGCTTAGCTTCAGTGGGCAACCAGTCTTGGGCTACAGGGTGATATGGCTGCTGGCTAATATCTTGCAATAGCTGGTGACTGAACCAGCAACCTTCTGGATTCCAGCCTGCTGACTTTAAAGCCTCAGAGATATCAGTTTTTACACAGTAAAAAACAGGTTCAAAAACCTCAAAAGAGGGTGTACTCACCTTTAGCATCAATCGATTCTAAAAGCATGTCGATTACTACAATGGTTCCTGTTCGTCCAATACCAGCACTGCCAAAAACACATTGAGCAACAACACATTGAAACTATCTCTTCCAACTTGCAGAGGTCATGAGACACTGAATGTCCCATAGCACATGTTACTAAAGAGTAAACAAACTATTAATTTAAAGGTTAAGTGTGGGAAGTGAGGGATCATGAGGAGTTCAAGCATGTACTGTGATTACAGTGGTGTGACTTCTGTTCTGGCTAAAACTCTCTGCTTAAACTTTTCAGTATGCATTACATGTCATGCCAAGAAATGAAATGAAATGAAATGTAATAAACTGTTTTCTCTGTTATAAAATAAAATGAAATAATTGTAACTTTTTAGAACAATTTGGAGTGATCAGTCCAACACAAAAAGATGAATTATGTATTTTCCTAGTGATGGTTTTTGTGAAGCACAAAATAAGTGGCATTTAACCAATGAATGCTGTCCATAAAAAGTCAAGAATATTCAGATGTACACTCTTAAGGCCCGTTCACACCAGGTATGATAACTATAATGATAACGAAAAAGATATATTTCTAAAAGAATAGCAGAGTCCATTCCACAACTATGACGATAACGGCACAGAGAAACAATATTGTTGGAATCATTTTCAGAATGATTTCATCCAGCTGATAAATGATAAAAAACATTGACAGCCAATCCGAATTCACCTAACTTAAAGAGCTTGAGCTTTTAAAGCGGAAGCCGACAACTGTAGTTGCCACTTATAATAAACAGAACGATATCGTGTGTTGGTGTGGACGCTAATATAGTTATCTTTATAATTATCATTCTTGGTGTGAACGGGCTTTTAGAATAAAAGGTTCAATGGGGCTCTATATAGGACCCTAGGGTTCTTGACTCAATTTTAAAGAACCCTTTACCAAAAGTTTCTACATAAGAAGTAATGTCTGAAATGATTAATAATAATACTTAATAATACTTTCATGTTTAACATGTTATTTTAAACATTTCTAGGGATAAAGTATGTTTATGAGCTGTTAAAATAAAAAATGAATTAAAACTAAATGAGTTTATTAAAACTAAATCCATAAAATTATCCCATGATGGGAACCCCGAAAAAGGTTCTATACATGAAGTGCCTGACAGAATCCTTATATAGAACCTTTTCTTCTAAGAGTGTATATTTTATGGACATCTGAAATGGCATGACATCATGCTTGTGCTCATGAAGCCCCCAAGTGGAGGAAGATGTTATTGTGAGTAAGTACAGTACCTGCAGTGGATGACCATGGGTGCAGATGAGGTGAGTTCATTCTGTTTCATGTTGACCTGCTCCAGAAAGCTAAGCACTCCACCGGGCTCTTGTGGCACGCCGTGATCCGGCCAGCTCAAATACTGGTAGTGCCAAATGGTCCGAGCTGGCTCTTTCTGGAATCAGAAAGGTAAAGAGAGAGATAGTCTACATGAAGGAAGAGAATTATCACAATGTGCAGTGCATTCATGCTTCAATGCTAATCAATCATCAATTACTTTATGCCACCTTTCTGGTTTAAGAAACATGTTTTACTTAATTAAAATGATATTGCCAACATAAACATTTATTAAATTGTACATACTGTACATTTATTAGTATTTCAAGGCACTCAAGCTTCAAGAAATAATTTCCTTCGTTTTACATCATGTGTTTTTGTTCTTGAATTTTAAAAAATCCTAAAGCTAAAGACCTAAATTGGTCTCACTTTTTTACCTGTTTATCTAACCATAATGCAATTGTGTTTTTCATAATAGAAACAGTTTTATTTACACAGTTTTTATTGGAATTAAATCTATAGCATGAAATGGAATGGGATCAAATAAAATAAAAACCGCATATGTTAACATAATATTATCTTTTCAGAACAATTTGGAGTGACCAGTCCAACACAAAAAGATTAATTATGTTTTTTTCCCAGGGACAGTCTTTGAGAAACACAAAATAAGTGGCATTTAAAGCAATCGACCAAAAGCCAAAGCTGAAACTTTAAGTGTTCTTACTTTTTGACCTTTTAATCTAACCATAATGCAACTCTATTTGTTAATAAAAGAAAAGCCACATTTTAAAGACACAATACTACTTACTTCATACAGTTTTTTAAAAATATATTATTGGAATCAAGGTGATGGAATGAGATGCAATGGAACAGAATGACATATAGGGACAGAATCTGGGCCACAGGTGCACTGCACAGAAATGTGCTCACAGAGGTATTGAAAAGACTCTTTTCTTACCCGATACGTTGATGTGAGCTCCATCACTCTGATCTTGTAATCAGTGGCATCCTTCTCATTCAGTAACGTCACTATATATCTGCCTACGTCCTTTGACTCTCCCTCAACAGTAGGCCAGTATGGCACACACTTATTCTGCAGAGATTAACAAAAGATAAACCATGAAACGTTACATTTGAAGTCAGGAGATCTTCTTTTCTACTTTTTTTTTTAAAAGCGAGGCTATAGAGATGTACTGTTTCACACAGAAAACTAAGCCAGAAGACATTACTGAATTACATAAATGAGAAAGCCATTTTAATAGTTACATTAATAATAGTTACTGCATTTAATAATAATTGAAATATAAATTCTAAATAAAACAATCATAGAATTATTAACTGGATAAATGTCAAGAAGAACTAACCCGTCCTTTCTCAACCTCCCTTGTTGTCATGACGATTACTCGTGACTCTGCTTGCCACATCATTTGCCAAAAATCGCCTACAGTTGTTGCGAGGCAGCCTTGACAAGCAATGTAAATCTTCTGGTGATTAATATCCATTAATTTGTTCTGTGAACACATACACATAGAAAGAGAGAGATGATGGAAAAGAGAGGGTTTAAACAAGACATTTTAAAGATGCAATTTGAGAGAGTTATGATTATGTTGTGGACGTACTACAACATAGTTGGCATTGATGTAATCAGAGCCGACAACATTGGGATCACCGCTCTGTAGGATAACCCTGGTTTCATCAACTGAAAGGGGAAGAAATGGGAATATTTATTATTTGTAAATAATAGCAAGATGGCTAACCTCTTATAAGCAGGCTTATATTTATTTATAACTGCTAAACTTATATTTAATTTATTCATTTTTAAAAGAAACAATGCAGTGTGATCAGATTCATTGCTCACAGGGAAGGATGTTCTTGTATCTGTTTTTGCTTTTGTTTTCTGGTCTCATTCCTTCATCTCTGCTCTTCGTTACCTTAGTTTCCAACTTCTGCAGAGCCTGCAAGCAGAAAAACAGATTTTTAAATCAAGAATAGCACAGACAGTAAGGGAAATTAAGACAGAAAGTACACGTGACCACATCCTGCCTGTTGAGAGTGGCTCTGAACAACCGTTTGGCTCCTGTGGTTTAACCTTACTACGACCAGAGATCAGTATGACGCACTAATTTTAGCAACAGTTGATCAAATTAATTTGCCATCTGGTACCAATTGTTATAAGTACAAAAAGGGCTGTTAAAGTGCACAAATTGTCTTTAATCAGACTCATAACTCATGTAGATGTTGCTGCTAAATATGCTTTCTACAAAACACATACCTTCGAGTTTCTGTCTTTTTGTCATTTATGTAAAAAATTTAACTGTGTTTTTAAAGTAATAAATTAAAATAATCAGTTATCTCATACGATCTGATTGCTTCGACAGAACAAAAAGTGGGCCAAAGGCAACACGGATTATGTTGAGTGGGAAATAGACCCTCAGTTGTGGCCTAACAGACTACAGGCTGCTGTTAGGTGTGAACGGAATAACTCCAGCCCACAAACCCAAAACTACCACTGTGTGGGAATAACATATATGATTTTTACCCAGGTAGGACTAATCTAAAGACATTTTTTTAAGTAAATGTGGTTTCTCCTTGGCAAGTCGAAGCATTCATTGGTCAAGACTGAAATCTTCAAAAAAAATTAAGATTACACTTCAATAACATACACTACCGTTCAAAGGTTTGGGGTCGGTACGATTTTAAATACTTTTAAAAGAATTCTCTTCTGCTAACCATGGCTGCTCTTATTTGATTAAAAATACAACAATAATCAGTTATAGTATTAAATATTATTCCAGTGTAAATCAGCTGTTTTCTGTGTGAATATATAGTGAAGTGTAATTTATTCCTGTGATCAAAGCTGAATTTCCGGCATCACCAGTGTCAGTGTCTTCAGTGTCAAATGATCCTTCACAAATCAGTATAATATGAGGATTTGATGCTCAAGAAACATTTATTATTATTATCAATGTTGAAACAGTTGTTGGTCTGTCAGTTGTACAGTTTTTTTTGTTTTTTTTAGGATTCTTTGATGAATAGGAAGTTCAAAAGATCAGCATTTGTTTGAAATAGAATCTTTTGTAACATTATAAATGTCTTTACTGTCCTTGATAAATAAAAGTATTGATTTCTTTCCTCAAAAAAATAAAATTCTCACTGACCCCAAACTTTTGAACGGTAGTGTATTTCCAGTCAGCAATAAAATCTGATCATCTTTAAAATCTGTTTAGCTCAAATCACTTTTGTGTATGTGTGTGTGTGCTTGCGCGCATGTGTGTATTTTTCAGGCTGGTCCAGCTAATATGCAAGCGTGTTCTAGTATAAAATAAGTTCTTTTAACTGAAAAGCGGGAATTCCATATTAATTCTCCATGTATGTTTGTTTAAGTAGCATTGATGGACTATTTCCAAAATACAGTTATTTTCCAAATAAATCTCACAAAGAGCACGTACAATGTAGTTGTGATTCTAATGCATGAAGAACTTGTGATTCATCTACAGCAGGTGGTGAATAACCTTTAAAAACGTCACTCACATCAAACTCTTCCCAGAACCCAGCTTTTATCTTTTTATCAGCCCCATCCATGTTCTCTCTCTCTGAGGTTTGGTCGAGCTGCTTTACTCTGCTCTCAATATCAGCTGCGTTCAACCTCGTGGAGTAATAAGGCTGGGGAAAAGAGAGGTGGGTAAACATCATGGGAGAAGAGCAAGACATACATCAAGACATCAGACAGACAGACAACAGAAAGGAGGAGATTGACAGACAGAAAGGGCAAAAATTAATCACAACATTAAAGGTGCTTCCCACAGTTCTATGTAATTTGCCATTTTGTCACACTATAAAATACATTACTCAGTTTCAAAGATATTTTCCAGTTGTTATCTCTGTTCAGCTGAACAGATGCTCAACATTTAGCCACTATAAAAGTAATAGTAGATCACTATAACTGCAACTTATCCATATGATCACAAATAACAAAATCAAAAAGGGTTTTAAAATCAAATCAGTTTCAGCCAAATATCTCAAAATGTACAAATCAATGTGACCATAGTCAATTCCCACAGTTAATACCAGAAGCTGATTGGTTGCTAGTGTTCTTGTTGCAGGCTTGCATGACATTTAAGAGATTTAACACATGTTGGTACCCTGCCCAATATAAATGTTCTTTACCTGTTTGAGATAAACCATTGTCCCAGACAACTCCTCAATACCAGTGCGTTTGAAATGCTCCACGAGGTCTGTCAAAGTGTCAAAATTCTCTTTACCACCAACTGTGTAGCGGTCATTCTGAAAATAAACATGCATAAGAAAGTTAATCAGTCACTCGGATTCCTACACAAGGGTAACACGAGGTTCAGTGGCACCTTAACTTGATGCCAAGGACCCCCAAATAATACTTATTATTAAAATATAAAGAATAGACAGCTATGTATTTTTTTGACACATTTATCCTGTGTGATTTCACTCTAATCGAGGTGGATGGATGCTCTCATGTTCACACTGGTGTAGAAAATGTCCAAATATGTTTTGTCTTAATCTTGCAAAGTATATGGGTTTTGATTAATTATTTTGCTTGAAAAGTTTGCTTATGCTATTCTTATTAAAAATTAATAAAGAACGGTCATTCCGATTTTACTTTTATTGTACAACCTGTGAGAATGTTCTATCATTAAACCTAAAATACCATCACCAAAATGGTGACAAAGAAAGCTTTCTGTGTCTTTAAATCAGATTAAAAACAGAAGCTGTCCATTGGCAAGGGCTTACAACTTCTTGGATAAACTAGGGTTGACTTAGGCTGGTTTAAGACGTTTTAGGCCTTAACTGCATTGTTTGGTTCTCTGAGCTGATTAGAACCGTCTTCACAAAACACTGTTTGTTCTGTTAATCAGCTCACAGGGCAACAATGCAACGCTGGCATTTTGTGCTCTTTGAACCTCACTAACGCACATACACATGCGCACATACCAGTGGAATAAATTAACAATCGACAGGCAGTGCGTTGACCTGATTTTCCCTCAGTCATAATCTTCTACAATTTATTTAAACAGCACAACAATAGAGCTTATTTAGAGTCCCGAGTGGGGCATGACCACCCCCGCTACCATCCAACGCGCTCATGACTCAAAGTCCAGTCGCGTTTTTCAGGTAAGTGCAAATGTGTGTATTGATGTCAAACTGTGTGTACCATATGTAAAACGTAAAACATTTTTTAGCATTTTTGTTATTTGCTAAATTTATGAAAATAATTCCACGTAAACAACATGTTGTTGATAAAGATGCTTAGATCTATACAAAATTACATATTCAGCTAAATATTTTAACGGTTTACCATCTAAATAAGCCATGTGTACAGTGCCCTATGGAAGTAAGTAAACAGTCTAGGTGTGAGGTTTTTAACAATATCAGCATAAATCATATTTCATTTGTGATAGCTTTGCATTGAAAGGGGACAACACACAAAAAATAAAAATATAAAAAATCATTAGATAAAAAAAGAATTCATGATAGAAAATACTTTTATAAATGAGCTATTTGTATTGCAAATAGTATTTAATCATTTATTGCTAATCCTAAATAATAACTGCAAGTTAATGCATTTACACCAACAAATAAGGATTTATGTTGATATTGTCCAAAACCCCACTTTGAAACTTTTTTAAGAGAAATTGCAACTAATCATTGGACTTGAAACAAGCTTATGAAGTAACATATTCTGTTCACGTTCATTATAGGTACTTGCTGTTAAGATTAATGCAGAACACTGACCTCTTTTGACTCACAACAATCATACATGTATGAGCAAATGCACTTACGTTGCACATGATCTTGATATGGGAGACCTTCCTACCAACACTGCTCATATCACCGGTGAGAGCAGACAGAACAAAGTCTCCTGGTTTAGAGAGCGACTCCCTAACCAGGAACGTCCCGGGCTCATCGCGCTCACGGAGCAGCTTCTCAGCGCTTGGACCCGACAGGTGGCCATGGTACCACCTGAAGATACAAATGCAAAAGGGAAAAAAGTCATTGTGAAGTTTCGATTCCTGTTGTGTACTAGATGTTCTTATGATATACACTTTTAATAGTAAAACATAGAGGATATCCTGCAAACACGGTTCAAAGAAATGTCTCTGACGCAAATAAACCAGACAGTCAAGATATTTAGAGAATGATAGTGCCTAAAAATAAAAATAAATTAAACTAGGGCCAATGCAGCTGCACCACAAACCACTGCAGCCATAAACAAAAACACACAAGGCTGAACATTTATGTCACGTATGCATTTCCAGTGTGTGTATATTTATTAGCAATTCTGGATCATGATGCAAAAGTATGGTGGTCCTCACGCTCTAGCCTACTAAAATGTACTTACAATTGGACTCAGTTCTCAATTTCTACATCTCAGCTTCCTGTACTGCGGTCGGAAAATTTTCTGATGACAAGATTTCTTGACTCGAGACTTAGAGAGTGTATTTTTAGCTTGTCCTTCCTTCTCTGTTCTCTTGAGAGAGAGAAAACGCTTGCTAAATCGCCCTTCTGGGGGTTCTTCCATGATTGCTCTCTGTCAACTACAACCGGTGTTTTAGTTTGTATGATTTTGATCCCTCTGAATAATTATAATAAATAAAAAAAGTATTATATTTTTAAATAAAATGAATAATTATAATAAAAACAAAATTATTATGTTTTTAAATAAAATGATATTTATGAAAAACAACTTGAACACAAATATATAATATTCTATATATAAATAATATAAAATTCTTCTGTGATTCTTAAGTTCTCTGTCTTTGCTAAAATTATACATAATACTAAAAGTTAAGCCTAAGAGTGACTGGACACATTTCAACTAGACATCTCTCTTATTATTAAGACACTATGTCATGCAAAATTATGCCTTTTTGTTTATAATCAGCAATAATATTTTCATTGCATCTCAGTCCTTTATGAAGGGATCTAGATCTCTGCTCTTTTATGTTTTCAATTTAAGACTGGACTTGTGATCAAAGTTCCATGCATTATCAATGCAAGCAATAACTCTGGCATTTAACATTTCACAAGTTCACTCTTACAACATTTGGCGTGTTGTCCGAGGGGAGGGTTTGGCCCGAACCCAGAGTACTCCTGCAACCATTGACTGAGACAGGAACCAGCCAAGAGTGAGGCATTGGGATGGCGGTGGGATGCTGCAAAACTGTCATGGGACAGAGGTGAGGGAAGGCTATATATACAGGCCTTTTCTCGCAGTTGGATTACCTGAACATGCTCTTCTCGAACTTTGTTAAATAAACTTCATTTAATCATTTATGTGAGTATCAAATGTATATACATTACACAATCTGTCATTGCAAATTCTCTTCCAACTCTATCACAAGTTACGTGATAGACTTGAGAATATCACCTCTCACCATATAGAAACAGCGTCATGCAGATTGATGTGCTGTATTGTGAGTCTTTGGTGACTATTTTCTACATTTGAAAGACAATTATGATAAAATAGCATTACAAATTCTGCTCTTTTCAGAAATCAAGCCCTTTTTATACGTGAGAAGATATGCTCACCCTAACTAAGAAACCGTGGTTATACATAGTTGTTATAAATTTCCTCTGTAAACCTATAATAAAGTCACTTTAAACGGGATCATTTGCCCTTACAATGAAAGTCAGTGGGGTCCAAATATATTTTTGGGCCCCACTGGCTTTCATTGTATGGAAAAAAACAGTAGAATCCTTCCTCAAACATAAATTTTTGTGTTATGCAGAAGAAAGTATAGGGCCGGTTCACACAGAACGCATTTTTGCTGTCAAAAAACATGAGATGCAGGTCAGGGGAACGACTAAAAAGTGCATGTTTTTTTTTAAAGTTGAACTTCTTTTAACTTGAGTGTCGTGTTTTAGAACGCTGTGTAATGCGAGACAACGCAAAATATGCGAGATGTGAGCGCAACAGTTAAAGAAGTCCGTGTATGCGTTTACATTGAAAAACAATGGAAAAGTAGTGCAGTGGAATGGAAAAATGTGTTCGGTGTGGATGTGACCTCAGTATGCATACTGCATGTTTTCTGTCCGTTAAACAACAACACCCATCAAAGAGCTCATCATCAGCATGACCAAAAAAGAGAAAGATAGACAGAAGGGTGGGGGACAGAGAGCGAAGATAGACAGTAGAGAGATGAAGGAAGGGCTGAATGGGTCTGGTCACTGTTTGCAAATGTGTCAAAACTAAAGTTTCCAACCGCAGTTGAGAAGAGGAAGTCAGACACATGGCAGAGGAAGGCGTAGAATGTGTCTGCAAATGCTTCAACATGAAATAAGGAGCTCAAATTGAATTCAATGAATTGTGGGATTCAAAATCTAATTTGAACCTGGAAGAAAATACTAGCATTTAACAACATTATGAATGAATAAGAAAAAGACTTTGCATATTTCCAAGTCACTAATCAAATTTGTGACATTGATTATGTGAGGATCTTTGCACATGCAGCTGGTCAGGTGGTCTTGCTTTTATTGAAGCACAAGATGTTCTTTGGATCAATGTGGACAGTATCATTTGTGGAGCTCGTGCAACTCGAGTGCAAGTCAAATAAACAAAAGGGACGAACTAAATACAACGATACTCTAAAATTCAATTTAACATTTGACTCAAATTGGTATGCTAGTAATAATATAATATAATATAATATTTAATTAAAATGTGAATTTGAATTTGTAATTGAAAAAAAGTATTTAGTTGAAAGAATGCAAAATACATTTTTCTAGCAGTCTCATACATTTGCGCTGGCAAATATTTACTTTAATTTGTTAAATGTATAAATTATTTATAATTATCATAATTTAATTATAATAATTCACTTTACCTTACACTGCATTAATCATTAGATTAATGATCATTATATTAATCAGCTGTATTTTTTGTTTAGCCAATCTTAAATTCAGTGAATAATTGTCTGTCATATACTATATATGTATGTTAAAAAAATGAAATCTGAAACCTTTCACTCCTATATGTATTCTTTTTTTTTTTTTGCACCATAAAAATAATTAATAAAGAAAAATATCCAGATAAGGTGCATTTTCCAGTGCTTGTCATTCATGTACCTACAGTACACGTGTATCTTACATCAGACTTATGATTAGCAATGCTGATTCAGGATGTTGTGTAAGCAGGATAAACTGATATACTGTTTAAAGTTCTCAAATTGTGTGGTCAGAACGTATTAGAATCTGCAGCAGCAGACTGCTTTAGAATATGTAAATTCGGTGTAAACGTAAAGCAAAAGAGACCATGTTAAATGATTTATGGTAACACGTCTCTTGCCAAATTAAGTGAATCTGCTGCTGTTGGGAATTTCAACTCTTTATTTATAAAGATTAATGTCAGCGGTGGAAGGAATTGTGGAGATTTATATCAAGTTTTGTTCCTCAGTTTCTGATGTAACTGAAAGTAGAATGTGGAAGACTTCCAATGTGTGATAAAATGACTGATCATGTGACGCTTTTACAATACATCAAACAGCAGGGACAGACTCCTCTTAGACGACATTTTGTCATATTGCACATTTTTACAGTGGCAATATCACAGACCTCCAGAAACTGCATACATGTGGATCATTCCACTCCATAACAATTTTTCCATTCATTTGCCATTAATATTTTGCCATGTAGCAACCAGTGTTGGGGAAGCTACCGGTCAAGCTTCAATTTGTTTTTGTTTTTAAATAGGTCAACTACAGACAAACTACTAAAGTATCTAATTTTTGTTGACATGCTAACAAAAGTGGCTAACTACACAACTTCAATGTAATTAGCTTCTATTAGTTACTATCTTATAGCTAAAAAGCAATACGTGCTATTTGAAGAAGTAGGTAGCCACACTAGTTACTAACACAAAAAGCTAATTACATTGAAGCTATATAGTTAACCATTCTTTGTTAGCTAGAGTAGAGTAGCTAGTATTTATCTGCCACAAAAAAATCAGTTGAAGCTTACAGTTAGCATGACAGCATTTGAACAGATACATTTACATAAAATACCACTGCTAAACTACAAAACTCCCAAACACCTCTCCAAAAGTGCAAAGCAGCAAAACTTCCTTCACCGATAACAGCACTGTATATTAGTTGTAAAATATAATACATGTAAATTCTTAGCCTTATGAGGAAAATGACTGAGTTTCCCTGTCTTAGAAATTCCTTAAAAAGACCAGTAAAGCCAGTGGATATGTTTACATGGACAGCAATAATTTGACTGGATCCACTGACAATGGCATAAGTCTGAATATAAATTTGCAAATATAAATTTCCAATTACCCAAATACCGTAGCACTATGCGTATCTGCATTAAGCTTAACATCGAACAATGAAGTTGCATAATGCGAGACATGGAAATTTGGACATGGACATTCTGACTTTGACCATTTGAGTTTTTAACATAAATCTGTTTTGACTAAACTCTTTACCTTCTAGCTATTGGGGGGGGGGGGGGGGGGATATAACATTTATCATTATATAACATAATCATTTACGGGGGGGATATAACATTTATCATTTACCAGAATGATAAATGTTACATATTTGAATATAATCAATATCAGAAAATAATGCATCTACTGTATTTGTGGAGGGCCTCGTTATTTTGGATATGGTGTTGTAAAAAGCGAACAGTAAATACCTATGTGAACATTATAATCGGAATGTTTTATATGGTCATGACAGGAGTTAAGAAAAAATAGAACTTTGCATACACAAGTTTAGTAAGTGTTTTTACCATGTTAACACAATTTTTATAGAGCAGTATGTGCATTGGCAAAACTCGTACTGTAATGGCAATGATGTAACGGAAACCTTTGAAATGAGGTATATCAGTCTCACAAATAATTTAGATCAATGATGGCATCCCCAAAATCAAATAATCAACAGTTTGTAATAGTTATTTCCGTCAGTTAGTTTTGTAATAAGCCCGACTTCATCAGGATACAGGGTCAAATATGATGGCTTACCTCTCAGTGGTGGGATCAGAACAGTTTAAGGGGTATTTGAGCTCAATAACGGTCCCATCTTTATCCTGTAGAGTTCCATGATCTCCAGTGTAGTACTCCACCAACTCGGCTAACGTAGCAAACTTCTCCCCGCCGTAAAGGTCATAATAATCACCCGTGTTCTGAATCCTAATATGCGTGACTATTTCCCCCACTCTGAGAGAAAGAGGAAGAGAAGGAAAGAGGTTTTATGATGTACCATTCTCAGTAAAATTTAATTTCTGTTTATCGGCTTACTGTTAATCAGATAGAACATGCATGGCATCTCAATTAGGACCCTATACATAAATTAGTTGTTTCTTTCAGAGGCAAAATCCAACAACATCAGGACTTAATGTCGCAGGAAATGGAGTAATAGTAACTTTACAAAGTGTGTAGAAATTGTATGTGAGTGTGTAGTAACTACTTCACTTGAAGGGTTATTCACAAATGATCGCAGTAATATTTCTTGTATTTATTACCCCAATTCTGTTTCCTCGGGCTTAGCTTCCTGAGCTTGAATGATTCAATACCTTCTCAAAAAAATAGCTATGTTCATGTATGCCAGCAAACCAACTTTGGTTATGTGATTTGGAACTGTGGTGCAGTAAATAGGACACATTCTAGTAACATGCAAGGAGGACTTACAGGAATGCAGGTTCAAATCCGACCTGATCTAAGTCCTTCCCATTCCCTTTCTCTGTCTTTACACTGTACTGTCAGCTTTATAATAGCCTAATAAAAGGCTTTTAAAGCCTGTATTTAAAAAAATGGAATTTATGACTTATGATTTATGATTCTACACTAAATTACAGTATTAGTGACACTTAATTTCCATTATTGTTGTTAACATTGTAATTGTATTATATTGTAGGGTTAATAAACTACAAATGTGGTAAACAAATAAAGGTGCCTTCATAAAAGCATGACATATTTTCAATTATTAAACATGGAAGATTTATTCTAGGCTACATGCAAATATGAAAACATGCAAATTTAAACAAATATTCTTCAAATTGCTCTAAATATGTTTATCTGTATAGAACAGAACAAAATAGATTACAATATAAGTCAATCTAATTGTCAGAATCGTATGGCACGACACGTGCCAGTTTTGAGCTTTTGACACTTCTCTTTGCCCTTTAGAAATGAACTGACATTAGGCTGGCATTTAGTAACACCGAATTATTACGTGACAACATCGCAGACAATTCTACTAATCAGCCTATTGATGTTGTTCATCATTAAGTAGACCATTTTTATACAAAGTAGAATTGACAAAAATAGACACATTTTATGTCTGAAGCATATTTTACAGTCTATGTATAAATCAAATGAATTACGTTTATGGAAATAATAAACACACAAATAAATGCGTGAATTATTGTATTGTTATGTAAAGTGAACTGTAGGTAGCAGGTGCATGAATAAAAGAAAAAAGAAAAAAAGAGAGAAGAAAATAAAAACAAAAGATTGTTTAAGAAAGTACATCAAAATGTATTTAAGGTCAGAAAACCACAACCCACACCAACGCTTTTGAAAAGAACAAGACAAAAATGTGATGGACAAAACACAAATACAGAATCAAATTAACCCCACAAATAATGAAATGTTAATTCGCTCATTGTGTGTGATGTCTGCCTAGAGCGAGAAAAATAAATGCTTGTTATCTATTCCAAAATAATCTAATAATTGGTTTGAAGAGTATATAAATGTTGTCTGACAAGCTCTTGAACTAAACACGGTCAGAATCAGAGGAACAAAGACGAGTCTCAAACCAGTCTAACACAGAAACATTTCATAAAAAGAGCAGATAGTCCTGGAAAGTAGTGAAGGCTATCTGTCACCCAATCTGACCTCAGCTTATCCTCAGAACCAAATGTTCACCTCTAAATGACAACATAAAAAGTTGCTCAAAATTGACATTTTTATCAAACCAAAAAAGTGCTGTACCTAACAGACAGGGAGAAATCGCCAGCATTCTTCTTGCTGGGTCGGGCCAGGAAGCTGCCATGGACGCCTCGGGTCTTCAAAACGGTCTCTGCGTCTATTCCAGACAGATCTCTGTGGAACCACCTGTTTAACATGGAAATTAGCATCTGTTAATATGATAATAATATTACATTTTACATGAATGCCATCACACGAATAGTACAACATATTGTACGTAGACAACTGTACGCAAGCCAAATATTTAATAATTAAAAGTTGTTCATTAAAAAAACGAATATATTTTGTTCAAAGTAAAAATAAAAAACAATATTTGGACAAATTGTGGCAGTCAAATGTTAGTGTAACATTTGCATAGTTGATGTGATGAACTGCACCTGTGGTTTAGAACACCTGTGTGGACTAGAGGGGGAAACTGACTTCATACATGTCATCTACATCTTGGTTGGTCAAAATTTAACTGCAAAAATGGCTCAGAAAAATGAAATTTGTTCTGAGAAAACCACTACCATAATTTGATCCAAATTTTGTTATGCATTGCATTAATGCATTTATAAAAGAGTCCAAATACTTTAGGCTGTGTGTGTGTGTGTGCGTGTGTGTGTGTGTAGAGGAGGCACAGAGCTGTTCAAAAGCAAATATGCAAATGCAAATGAAAGTGTTCATTTATAATGATGTATAATGATCATTCATGGGACGGTGAAGCACATGTAAAAACAAGCACACTCTACCATGGCCTACCAAACCACCAAATGCATTTGCAGAAATGCACATAAAGCCCAGGCAGGCATGCATCAACATAAATACAAGTTGCACTTTGCAGTTGCATTCACACACACACACACACACACACACAAAAAGCCTTTTTACACATTATGCAAAACGCACAGATAAGGGGCTGAGAAAACATAAGCAAACCTGAAAAAGGGAAGATGATGAGTTGAACAAGATTGGAACAAGAGAGTCTCAACTTACCGAACCATCTTCCTATTTCAAATGTTCCTCTTCAATATCCTCCTCTTCCAGTCAAAAAGAAAAAGAATTGAATGCACATTAATATTGTAATAAATAAGATACATGCATAAACATAATCCAGAGCTGTAAAGAAGAGTCTTCTTCTCTTTGTCTCAAACGTCTGCTGCACTCATCCTCTACTTTTCCATTTGGCTCCCTCCTTCTATAACTTGTGCATTGACATCCCTCCACACAACCAACCACAGCCCATAATCATTTGTCTACCGGCATCATACCTGCCCTCTCTGCTTCTCCTCTCTCGAAACGTAAACAGTGTTTTCGGTGCTTTGAAGAGCAGGTCGTCCTGACAGTGTATATAAGCCTGTTGTATGTCCCTCCCTCTCTCACTCTCTCATGCACTGTTACAAACTCCTTCCTTCCTTTTTGTGGCTTGTTCATAAAACAGTGAAAGCAACAAGAGAGATAGAGAAAGATCCTGAGATGGCAGATTGATTTCCTGGTTCTTCAAGTCCTTTTAGTCAAGAACTAATCCAGACAAACGTCCAGCTCACAGTTTGAAACTAAAAGAGACAAATAGAGGAACTACAGGCTGAGCAAAATATCACAAACAACAATGAAATGCAAATTACCCTCACTTACAGCTTCTGAATGTACTTCTCTTGCTTCCTTTCATTTATGCCTTTTTTCTCGCAGGTTGATTTGTTGATTTCACAGGTTGGTGTCAGTCTGACAGTTAAAGTCCATTTTGTCTAGTGTACATTGCACTTCCTTGTTTCAAGACTTTCACCTCACACACACACACACACACTGAGAGAGAGAGAGAGAGAGAGAGAGAGAGAGAGAGAGAGAGAGAGAGAGAGAGAGAGAGAGAGAGGGGGGGGGGGGGGGGGGGGGGGGTTTACTGCATAATTTACACAATTATTACATAAAAATGGCCTAAGGCCTAAAACAAATTTTAATCTTAATTTTTATAAATTACACACTACCATTGAAAAAAGTATGATTTTTTTAATGCTTTTGAAATAAATATCTCATGCTCACCAAGGTTGCATTTATGTGTTCACAACTACTACTAACAGTAATATTATGAAAAATTATTAAAGTTTAAAATAACCGTTTTCCGTTTTAAAATATTTTAAAATGTAATTTATACCTGTGATGGCAACGCTGCATTTTCAGCAGCCATTACTCCAGTCTTCCGTGTCACATGATCCTTCGAAATCATTCTAATTTGCTTAATTGGTGTTCAAGAAACATTATCACAGTTTAAAAAAAAAAAACTGTGCGGCGTAATATTTTTGTGGAAACTCAAACTGATACATTTTTCTTCAGAATTCTTTGATGAATAGAAAGTTCAGAAGAACAGGATTTATTTGAAATCGTTTTGTAACAGTCTTTACTGTGACTTTTGATCAGTAATGCATCCTTGCTGAATAAAAGCATTAAATTCGTACTGACCCCAAAAATACCAAAAATAAATTGAATAGGCCTACACGTTAAAGATCGCTATTCTATCCAGAAAGGGAGATTATTTTTGCCTTGCAAATTTTATTTGTCTAACCTCTATTGCAGCTAACATTTGAATACATGCAAAGTCCAAGATCCAGTTTCACGATACATACCACATTATATATATTTTTTTCTCCAGAAGTTTCTCTAAGTCTCTAAGTCACTCTTTCTATAGTTACAGCCATATAAAGGGATATTTAGCTGCAGTGTGTGTTCAGTAAGGAAGATCAAACATCTTAAAACTATCACACATTTCTGGAAACACTTGACAGGTGGTCAAAACAGAATAATACATCTTACATTGTGTTTTGTTTTTGTTTCATCTTCTAAAAAAATTTTTTTAAAATATATTTCTAAAAATAATTCAAAGTTCAACCTTCTCAAGTTAATCTACACTGACAAAAACAAAACGTTCCATAGTAAAGTTCTCCATGTTTTTGGAGACTTGCAATGGTATTCTTTGATTATCAGTCCACAAAATAGATCAGAATAGAGAAAGCCAAAAAATGAAACCAATGTACAGTATGTTAGTGAAAAGGCAAGTGACACCACATAACCCATCTTTTGAGATAAAACTAAAAAAGGTAGAAGAAAAAGGTCAAGTTAGAAACGGATGCATTTTGCACACGATTATAGAAAGGTCAGAAAACTGTCCCTTACCTACATGACATGCTTTTGTCCTCTTCGGATTAATACTTGGTTGTATACACGCACGCACGCACACACATAATGTCAAGTTCTGCTTTTGGATGAAACGGATCAAACATTATTAACATTTATTGATCCAATATTAACATGCTAAGTGAAGGCTTGACTAACTAAACTAGACTTGGCATCTCCTCTTTTCCAGTCTTCCCTTCCCAAAGCATATTTGCTCCGATAAGTTATCTGCCTCCACCCAACCATTTTAGTTAATTGTCATAATTTCCCCATCCTGTCTTGTTGTTGTCATTCATTAACTCATACTTTCTCTCTGCACCATCCTGCTGCTCTCCCCTCCATGTAATCCCTCAACATGATTGCTACTTTTACACAAGCACCCAAATAATCCATTTATAATCGGATTGAGAAGTCTTCATCACCTCAATCAATCCATTTGTGCTCAATTCGAATAAAATTTCAATACAATAGACAGGGCAATAGTGCAAAAGGGAATGTTTAGCCATGTAAGTCATGAATCATACGATTTTACAAAATGGATTCAAAAATACCTGCACACATGGTCAGTTCCGTGATGCGTACGTTTCTACGTCTTACGAAGTAGTGGAGACTGAATATTTTCTACATATTTAAACAAAAAAAAAACGTAGCATCTATGAAAAAAAAACGTGGCTACTCCTTAATAAAGAGACAACACTCTGCACACTTAGTTACCTTTTTATTGCAGGTCTGGAAAAAAAAAACAGAAACAGAAGACATAATAACAATAACAGGGTAACAACGATAATTACAAAGTGAGATATTCAAAACTCCTGAAAGTGTAAAATTAGACGTTAAATAAACAGCTGCATTTTTTCACCTGTGCTAGTGGGATTTTTTCTTCTATTTTAGGAAAAAGAAACCGTGGCAGTCTCTAATTACATTATTCAGGGGCCAATCAGGAGAGAGAATGGGGAATAAAGGTGGATTTATTTTAACAAGCACAGAAATGATTAATAAACAATAGTGAACATGGAACTTGACTCTTCTTAAAGCAGCAGTTTTCATAATGGGAAGAAAAAAAATCTTGTTTATAATATATACCATATTTATATATTTTTTAATTCTAAAGGAATGAAAGGTCATTTGATGGCCTCATAAGAGTTGTGGCCCTGTCCAAAATGCATCTGTGAAGTTCCCAAGATATCCCAAGAAGAAGAGTGCTTATGTGTTCGTACGTTTGCAAAGCCTGCATCAGTGGACTATTACCTGACAGTCTATCTGGCATTAAGTCACCAAAATGTGAACTCGGAGGATGTCACATGGTGGCATTTGGGACAGGGTCTGTGTTTACATCAGCATAAACCTTTCACTCGGTTTCCAACTGCTGCCTGACAGTACTTACAGAAGGACAAGATGGAGACCACATGATTTTAGGTTGTATCTGGTTGGAAACCAGATGTTTAAGGGTTTAAACAGGCATTTGAAATTCAAGCTTGTGGAAATGCACAAAAAACAGTGATTCAACTAGTGTGAATTACAACATAATACACACCCGAGGAGGAAAGATTCCCCACTGCAAAGATCCATTCCACGCAAAGCAGAAATCCATACCAGCTCTTCAACCTTGTCCTGCATTGACTACTACAGTGCAGATCAGGTGACCTGAAAAACCTGAACTGGATTTCTATTGGAGAATAATTTGGGTGCTGTGTATGCTAACATACGTACACATATCTCAGGTCAGTAGGTGTGTGTTCAGAGGATTTTTTAATGAAGGGGGTGGAATGCCTCTAAATTGAATTTAACAGGAAATGTTAGGGAACCACAGTGTGCTAGATATAGGAACCACTCCACTCTCCTTCAGTCCAAACTAGTGTGGGCAGCTTGAACTCATTTCAGAAATATACAACGGATCTGATCACCTGACCCAGGTGCATGTCTGTATGTATGTGAGATGATTCCTCATCGTGACTTATGAGAGGTATGGGTGAAAAATTCATCCAGGGGTCATCAGCGTGGCGCCTGCGTCTGTGTGACCTCCGGTCCTCGGCTAGCCAGCCTGCTAAGGATGCTTCTTTCTGACATCTGCAGCCGCACAGCAACGGGCGGTATTCGAGCAATGGTTGCTGGGAGCCGGGTGACATCTGCCTTCATGTCGCTGAGCAGCTCCTCCAGTTGTTTGAGAACTTACAGAAAGAATGGTGATTGAGAATGGTGGAGATTTTTGAACACGTCTCCATTTATTTGAATATTTTAAGCAATTAAATGAATCAGTCTCAACATTCAATAAAGCTACAGGATGTAATAATCAAGCCAAATGTGGTCTGTAAAGCTATATTGAGATACTAAATAAAGTGTGAATTTTTGTGGATTTGAGCAGTGCTGCGTTGGAAACAGTGTTAAGCTGTGAAAGTAGCTGTACGAAGATTTGTATAATAATTAGGACTGGTAGCCTTTTAGCACCTCACAATTCGATTTGATTTCAAATGTATTTTTATAACACTTCATTTGATTTAGAATCATATTTTATTAGGATTGATATTCAAACAGATTTAGATTCATATTTGATTTGGATTCAAATTGAAATAGATTTTAATTCAAATTCAATTAGACGTGGATTCAAATTCAATTTAAATCTTACTGGATTTTAATTCAAATTCTATTTGATTTAGATTTATATTTGATTAGATTTCAAATTCAATTTAAATCTGACTGATTTGGATTCATATTTGATTTGGATTCAAATTCAATTAGATTTGGATTCACATTTAAATAATTTTTAAATTCTGATTTTAAAGTAACAACAGGTAACTTTTCAACCTTCATAATATATTTCCAAGTCTCTTGTGATGGTACATCGACTTACAATAGGTTGAATGACACGTCTGCCATAGCCTGACGGGGTCTGTAGCGTTTTTAATCGTACTTTTAAACTTCGGGTTTCGGGTAGTAACCGGCGAACAAAGAGAACTACAAAATTCGACTGCTTTACGGCATATACGTCACTTCCACCACCACCCCCACTTCCTTAAAATCGGACTTGCGAGCCAAATGTTATAGTCATGGCCGAAGCAGCACAGAAAAACAAGAAAGCAAAGGTTTTATCGGAGCAAAGCAAAAAGAGAAAGTGATCGCGTTAAAGGCAGAACGAGGATCAACATTGCAGAGCTGCCAACTCTCACGCATTGGCCGTGAGACACCCGCATTTGATTGGTTTCACACGCTCACACGTACGCCACACCCCCGGTTTCTCACGCTAAATTGTCAACCCGGTCGGTCAAATCCCTGAAAGATGAGTTTATCTATAGATCTACCTGTTGAGCCACTCGTGATCGACAAGTTATACCGCAAATTAGTTCAAATCTCCCGGAATCTAGAGCGAGCGCGCACGCGAGACAGAGACTGTGCTCCAACGCGCGCGGACGGCAGAGAGAGAAAGCGAGCGAGAGACCTTGCGTGTGCAGGGAGCATCGAACCCTCCATCGAAAAAAGAATGCCTCTCTCTAACCTCTCTAATTCGCTAGAGTAGTAGCGAATTATCAATCTGGTAGCTAGTAAACGATATTCTAGTTTTTGATGGTTAGCTATCGCTAGTATTCTCGTTCTGATTTGAACTTTGCAATCGATGAAATG